GGCCATGTACCTGCCTCTCCTTGCCCCATCTTGGACCACAGGGTTCCCAGTGGAGGCACTTGCCAGATGGTCTTGTGGGTTTCCTACTTCAAGGAGGTGGGCCCTCAGGGATAGTGGGGGGGAGAAAAAGGGGTGGCTGGGGAAGGGTGTCAAGATCCTACTCCTGGTGGCAGTGAGACTCCTGATAGCCTGCCAAGCAAGGGGAGCCATGGCCAGTAGTCAGTAAATCAAGGGAGTCACAAATCCAAAATGTTTGGAAACCACTGGGTTTGAGGATAGCCAGAAAGTAACAGCACTTGTGTCACCAAAAAGGGCCATCAGTGCATGAGAAGGTTATCTTAGCAGGTTTGCTGGAGAGGGACCTCCCAAGCTTTGAAGAGGCATAAAGAATATCTCAGAAGCACAGAGATGTGGTACCTTATTGCCAGGTCCACGTGTAAATGGATATTGATGGATGTACATGTTTTATTCCACTAGCACTATGGCCTGTGGTCTGTCCCCACTGCTGGAGCCATCTTAGGTTCACGACTGGTACAAGCCTAACATCCCCTAATATTGACTTGTGGACATCCTTGCACCTAGGGTTCCTTCTACCCCGTTTGTTTGTTTGTCTGTCACATTTCATACAACAAAACATCTTCATGCAAAATGAGACTTTCCTCTAATGAGCTCGAAGTGACTTCTTCTTCCATTTTACTCTGACAACAACTCTGTGAGGTGGGTCACGCCGAGAAATGTTACAGGGCCAAAGTCACCTAGGAGATTTCATAAACAAGTGGATATTTGGACACCAACATCCTAAGTCCCACTGGCTGATGCTAATGCTGTTGTCAGCCTTTTGAATTCCATTGTTTGTGGTCAGTACATTATACATGTTCCTTCAGACTGATCTGGGACGTTATTGTTATCAAGATTTAAAAAAAACACAGGGAGCATACAGTATATTGAACAAATACATATGGATTAAGCAAAGGAAACAGATAACCTACCAATTTTATTGCCCATCCACAATGCAGTTGAAGTGGCTATGTGACTCAGCTGCCAGATTCCTTCACCTTCTAAGAGGCAGTCCAGGCATGTTTTTCCTCCTTTTTGTAGGGGTAAAGCATGCCCAGCTCATATGGGATGTTTCATATTTACCCAATTTATTACATATTATCTACTCCCACCAACACATATGTGCCCTGCGTGTGACTGCATGAACTCCTCAATACTAAGAGGAACTTTTTACTGCTTGGAATACAGAGCTGTCAAATATTCTTTCATTCAGAATTGTGAAATCACCAGCTATATGCTATACAGAAGCCTACTTCTTAAAAAGAAGATATAATAGTACAACTACAAAAGGTCAAAAGAACTAGCTACTCAAACGAAACACCAATGTCAGAAAACCAGCAGTAGGTTGTGAAATTCCAGACATCTTAAATTAAAAAAACTCCAGAACAAAGATGCTCTGAGTAGACTCTGTTTTGTCAGAAACAGGCTGGAAACTGCTCTAACCTAGCCACAGAAAATTGGTCCTCCTTAGTTACTGTCACTAAACTGAGTACTCCAGCACCTTTGTTGTTAAATCTCTGAATTACTCTCTGCTGGGATGCCCAGTCCAGTGATTATAGCCCACAGAAAACTGAGTCCGGAGATAAAGCAACTGATGGGGCAGAGAGAGATTAACATGTTTATTGCAATGCTTAAGTCTCTTGCTGGCTAACAGTTACAGATGGATGCCAGCAACAGGACTAAAAATAAGAGCTAAGGCATTACCAGTGACTCACTGTGTGGGTGGTGACACTATCAGGGATCAAACACAAACGCATTCCCTGCCAGAGGCTAACACTACAAGACACACTGGAAATATCTCCCTAAGGCAGAAAGAAAAATCAAGAAACACACTTGTTTCCATTTTCAGGAAGGGGGGGGGAATCAAGCCTGCACTACTCTAGTCTCTTTTTGTTCATCTACCACTTTTTATAGGAGAGAGGCCCAAGCTGCATGCAAAAAATTCCCATGTTTTTGGACAATGCTACACAGCAGCAATTTCTGAAATCAAGACTGAGAATAACCTGTGTTGATACACTGCTAGATTCAAAAGGGACTCCCATTCCCAGCACAACGTGCAATTTACAAGTCTACTGCATAAGTGCAAAACCTGGTACTGTACTCTGTGAAGAACATAGTGGAGCCAGAGTTCCAGTGATCAGAGGAAGATGAAGACAGAGCCAGCGCCCTTTATCTCTCTTTGTTCCTCCTTTGTGGCAGATAACAGCAATGGAGAAGAAGTTGCTTAATCTTTGTAACCTCTCCAGGTGGCAGTATTTACCCTTCCTTAGTGAAGGTGAATTTTGACTTCTCAACCACAGAATTGATTCCTTTTCTTTCTTTATGAGAAAGGCAATGTAGACACAGTGATTTTAATATGGCCCAAACACTTGCAGCCACTCACAACACAACCATGTTAGGGGAAAATGAAAGGTGGAAGCCCACTTTGCATGTCTGGAGCTGTGGAGGGGCCAGAGCCATTCCACCAGTTGTGATGAGCTCAACCTAGCTTTGGGAAGATAGCTAGCTACTTCATCAAATTCAAGGTGTACAGCAAGCAGAAGCTGGCTGTTGCTGCAGAAAGTGGATGCCAGACTCCAAGAGACACCTGTAGCACCCACTGCCAAGTCAAGCAACAGACAGTAAAGATCAATAAGAGGTGATTGAGTATCCTGGATGCCAAAAAACGAAAGAAGGTCTTCTTTCTCAGACCAGGTTTGGTGCTAAAAAGGGAGACAGACTTCTGACCTCTTCCTATGCCTACGCGGGATGGAGGGATTCTGGTTTATCCCAAGCACTAGGTCTGATCTAAGCAAGGTATCTCCTAATCCTGGGCAAAAACTGAGCTTCAGAAGCTGCACTTCCAAGCCATTGTACAGTATATTTTACTAAACATTAATCGCTGCTACTTTTTTGTATGTGGATGATGCACATGAAACAGGTCTAGAAAAGGTTTTCATAATTTCAAGGCAAAACTAGTAATTTATAACATTAAATCACAGTAATTGCAGATTTCTTTTGAGTGCCTTTAAATGAACTTGTTGCTAAATATGGCAGAACTCCTTAAGTACATATATTAAGAATCAAATCCAACTGAACACAATGGCACTTACTTCTGAATAAACATGCCTTGGATTGTGCTGTCTAGCTAGCTTCCACTATTCGTTTTAAAATTTCACATCAGCTGTTATTGGCTGATAACAAATTCGGAATTTGTTCTGAATGCAGAGGGCAAACACCATAACATTTAGCTGCCTCTAGCTGGCAATTAATGGGTCACCCTATGAATTAATAAACTCCAGAAGTTGTTCTGGGTTTTTCGGGCTCTTTGGCCGTGTTCTGAAGGTCGTTCTTCCTAACGTTTTGCCAGTCTCTGTGGCTGGCATCTTCAGAGGACAGCAACCTGTCCTCTGTGCTTGAGAGCACTCCCAAGCTAACTACACCAGAGCACAGGTTGCTGTCCTCTGAAGATGCCGGCCACAGAGACTGGCGAAACGTTAGGAAGAACAACCTTCAGAACACAGCCAAAGAGCCCGAAAAACCCAGAACAACCATTAGATCCCGGCCGTGAAAGCCTTCGTGAATAAACTCCAGAAGGTCCAGTCATTTACAATCCTGCTTATGTCTTGCAAACTAGATTCTGTGTCTTTGACTTCCTTTACTGAGTCTGTCCATTTCATATTCAGCCCTTCTCTTTTCCTACCATCTTGAAATTTTTCTAATACATACTGTACATTGAGAAATGTGCTATGAAGTTGTTGTTGTGTTTATGAAACCTGGTCCCATGCAGCTGCAAAACCAACACAGAAGGCAGCCATGGGCAATGTAAATAAAAGCAAGCATTTGATAACCATCCCAATATTTCCCAATGTTTTTCAAGTCATAATCCCTATTTATAATAGCCAAGCAACCTATGACCCCCTGCTCATTTGCATCAAAAGGCATTTTAATGGGGTAGAGAAAATATATATTAAAAGTAGATTTTTAAGAATATAATTCTAACCTAATATCTAATGAGATGGTTGTACGTCTGGGCAACCAGCTCCCGTGTCCCCCTCCTTCCAAAACTGTGGCAACTCTCTCTCCAGAAAACACTTTGTGACACCCCCCCCCATCAGGGTCATGACCCACAGGTTGGGAATCCATGATCTAGGAAGGGACAGGTAATAAGTGTTTAAAGAATGAAGCAATGTTTCAACTTGTCAAAAGGAAACTGAATGGATGCTTTTATTTTTTACATGCACTATAGTTGAACACTTGCTTTATATTTATTTGCATCTGAAACAGATGCAAACATTTTTATCACCTTCAAGTTGTTATCCTCTGACCTAAATTTAACTTCTATCCCAATCAGAGACCCCTTGAATCAATGGAACTTACTTAAGTGTTGAGCTATGCTAAAATTCTGTTGCACAGTTCCACTTTTATACATAAACTGCTGTAAGTTAAAAAAGATTTCATAAGCATTCATTTATTTGTTGTACGCCAAGGCATATGACTCAGTATGCAACAGATAATGTTAGCTCTACCTGGGGCTAGCAATGAGATTTAGGCTCATGAATTTGAGTTCTAGGCCACACCAAAGACTGAATCCTTCCCAGGCAGAAAACGTTTCATATATTATGCATTAATTTATTAATCTTTTTATGCCACCTATAAGGAAGTCCTTAGGGAACTCACAATAAAAAATTAAATGCATTAAAATTCAATAAAAATAAATCAGGCAATGCAGCATACAAAACCAAGTAGCATACAACACTAAAACAGTTTTAAACTAAAAGATTTAAATATGTCCACTGAATTGGAGAAAACCTGTTGACTGTTGGTGTGGTACTTCTCTATGAGCAAGTAATCAAGTTCAGTGTAAACAGAGCCATCTGGTACATAGAGAACAGACACATGTAAATAGTCATCATTTGGTTTTTAACAAAATGAGCAGGAACGTAAAGGAATTCACCACGTACTTTTCTGGGGATAGAAGAGACGGTCATCTTTCAGCCTTATTTCCCTACAAGGAAAGGACAGAGTGGGTGAATCAGATTATTAAAACTGATTCTCCACTTGACTTCATGACTAATACATAGCTATTGGAATAACACAACTGACTGATTAAAAACAAACAGGCATGGATCACAACAGCTGGAGGAGAAAAATAAGAGCTTGTGGTTCCAACTACTGTCGTATGTCACCACGTGCAATTCCTCAAAAGAAACAGAACAAACCTGGATGCCAAAGTAGAGAGACAAGGCTGTGAGGAGGAGTGTTCATCTCTGCTGTTTGCCATACAGGGCTATGCAAAAGAAATCTGCAGTTGAGCATGAAGTCCAGTTCAGATTCAAAGGACAGCTGTTACCTTCCCATTCCTTACCACACAGCCCTCAGTCATGACCCTCCTTTAGATATGAGAGCTGCTTTGAGCTCTACTGAGGAGAGATAGAATACAGATATTCACAATAAAGTAAGAAAACATTGCTCATCTTTTCAGCAAAGCCTTCCACTACTATGTGCTTCTTTTCCAACTTTGGAATCAAATTTATATGCTTTATCTAAATACTATTTGCATGACAGCAAACTTAAACTGTTCACATCGTTGTTCATAAAACTCAAAAGTTATCAGCGATACCCAAGGAAAGGTTCTCTCATGAGTATTACTTAAGATTCTTCCTCTGAAGACATCAGGAGCCTACATACACCCTACCATATAGAAAGTAGCCTTCTGCTACAAAGTTCACTTCCCTATTTCATCTCATGCACAAATTAAAGCTGACAAACTAACATCTGTATTTCTTCAAAAGGAACAATAAAGAATGAGGCTATGTTGATCCAAGGGAGTAAAACAAAATCCAAAGGTTGGAGATAACAGTCAGTCCTAAGCAAGGCACTGCACACCTCTGGATTTTGGAGTTATGACAGGTGGAAGCCCTGAATTTCAGTTTCATTTATGTTATCTATTATCTATCTGATAATAATCTACAGTATCTCAGTTTCAACTGAGGAACTATTTCAGCATTCACCTCCCTGCCCTGTCAAAGGTAGAAAGCAGAACATGAATTGTGGTAATATAATATTTGAAAATCTAGCCGCTTTGCACTGGCTGCTCATTCGGTCCCGGGTTGACTTTAAAGTTTTAATGCTTACATATAAAGCTCTAAATGGTTTACGGCCTCCGTTTTAAGCGGAAAGCCTACTCCCACCAAAATCTACCCATATCACCTGATCGAGTCAGGAGGTGAGGTTGAGGAGCCTGATGCCGAGGGAGGCCCAGAAGGAAAAAACAAGAAACCGGGCCTTCTCGGCGGTAGCTCCTCGCCTCTGGAATAACCTTCCTCCAGAGATTCATGCGGCCCCTTCGCTGGCCATCTTTAAAAGCCAACTGAAAACTTGGATGTTTAGGCAGGCCTTCCCTCCAGTTAACACTTGATTCCCCCCCTCTTTTTTTCTTATTTTTCCATTTTGAACAACTTGTTTATTGATGTTTAAAATCTTGTTATATTTTAAATTGTTATTATATATGTTGGAAGCTGCCCAGAGTAGTCGACTGACTAGATGGGTGGGGTATAAATGCAATAAATAAATAAATAAATAAATAAATAAATAAATAAATAAACAAACAAACAAACAAACAAACAAACAAACAAAGGATGCCTAATGTGACGCTCGCCCATGTCACTCATGCTATTCATATTCATGAGCTGATTTGCATGAACCTATGAGAGGACTGGAGAGGCAGAGTCAGCAGCTACATGAGGCTTGGCGGGAAAAGGAAGAGTCAGATAGGGGCTGGTTAGTCAGAGAGAGAACAGATACTGGGAGAGAGCTGGTTAGGAAAATCGTTAGAGAAGGAAAAGGAAGAGTAGCAATAGAAAAAAAGTATGTACTGAGAGAACTGTTGATGATTTGCTTGTGTATAATGTTTATCTGAGAAACTTCTGTTATTATTCAATCTGCTTCACTTCAATAAATAAGTTGTGTTTCTGTTCACAAGTCAAGTGTTCAGACAAACATCATTTATATTGTGGATTGAGGGAATCCACTCACTGGTGGCAGTGAGCGGAAAACGCGACATGAGCCTTTGTGAGGGAAAGACAAGGAGGGGCCACAAGGGCGAACGCTATACCTGGTGTCCCGCTGAACTTAGTACCTCTAAGGCCACACAAGCAAGCATTGTCCCCAACAACAGTAACAAAGTTTTTTGTTGGGAGAAATTTGAAACTGCAATTATCAAGAGCAGTTGGTGTGTGTGCACATGTATACCCTCACTCTCACACACACACCAGCACTATCAGAAGAATGGCAGATGGCCTGCCAGGGACTTTCACAACACTACCAGTTTAAGTTGCTTATTTAAAATGCTGATTATAAAAAGCAGTGATACCAAAAATGGATGCCACATGGCTAAGGGATTGCAAATGAGGAAGATTTCAGTTTGACTATAATTTTGCCATTAATCACAATCATATCAGGATGGTCTTAGGCAAGCTGCTTTCTGTAAGCCTCAGTTCCCCACCTAGAATACAAGGATAATAACAACTTAATTTAGGAAACTGTTGTTGTAAGGATAAAATAAGGTTTCTGAGGTGCTCTAAAACAAATGCCCTATTGCTATGTGTGGTTACAGGAGCGCCCCGTTTAGTTCTAGTTTACCTCAGCATTTGACAGTGAAGCCTTCAGTTCCATTGCGGTGCCGCCCAGTATAAACAAGCTCACTCATTCCCACATTTACCTACAAAACTTCTCCTTGAAAGCAAAAGCAAACAAAAAAATGATGGCAATGAAATGTGCAACTTAAGTCAGTTGATATGAATCTGCAAAAATTCAGCCTGCATTTGGGTTCTCAGAACAGAACGTGACCAGCCCTGGGCTTAACAAATCCTTCATTAATTTTATGTGATATTGTGCCCCCAAAAGGAAGTGCTCTTCATGTCACATACATCAATCCAACCCTAAAACTGTAGGCAGGAACTGCTGGAGGTCACATAGTCCCTGAACTAGCATAGAATCTTCCACAATACAGGCTAATCAAATGAGCACTCCATGCTCTGTGAACAGGAGCACTATGTACAAGATGCTATTACTGTAGCCTGATCTGTCATGTTCTTCCATCATTCCCAGGCTTACAAATTGGTCCACACAGAGGGCTACGATTATTCTAATAACAGTATCTTAGTCTGTGATAATCCCTACCGGGAATCCCTCACATGTGGGATAGGCATGAAATGAAGAAAGAAGGATTTATGTACCTAACTGACAAGGCCTGGGTCTGATCTGTCAGGACCCTATTTTCCACACAAGAGAGCACAACATCAGACATAAACCTCACAACATCCTCAGGGCTCATGAATGCCGTCTCTACTCTTTAACATTTACAGAAGTCACTGGCAGAGATCATCCAGAGTTCAGGAGTTGGGGCTCATCACTATGCTGATGACATCCAGCTCCAGCACCCTTTGTCTACTAATGCTGTAGAAGTCCTGAATCAGTGTCTGGATGCACTAAGAGACTGGACACGGGTTAAAGAAACTGGGGCCCAATCCAGACAATGCAGAAGCTTTACTGACACTAAAAAGGCCTATGTGGGATTGGGATTTCAGATCTGGATGGGGTTGTACTTCCCCAAAGAACCAGTTTTTTAAGTTTGGAGTGATCTTCGTCTCTGGAATAACCTACCTCCGGAGATTCGCGCTGCACCCTCGCTGGGTACTTTTAAGAACCAACTAAAAACATGGATGTTTAGGCAGGCCTTCCCTTCCAGTTAATTCCTGTCCTCTTTCCTTTTTTCTCTCTCTTTATTTGATTTATTTTTATTTTTCCCATCTTATAGAATCATCTAATTAATTAATTGTTATAAATTTTTTAGAACTTGTTATCATTTGTTGTAAGCCGCCTAGAGTGGTCGAAATGACTAGATAGGCGGGGTATAAATACAATAAATAAATAAATAAATAAAATAAATCTTGAACCTAGTTAATTAGATTACTGTGACACTGTATTTGGGGCTGCCCTTGAAAAATGTTCAGAAGATGCACCTGGTGCAAAAAGCAGTGGTCAGTCTCTTGTTTGAAGTATATTTCAGAGACCATGCAACCCTGGTCTGGAACGAACTACACTGGCTTCTAATTTGCTTCCAAGCCCAATTCAAGATGTCAGTGTTGACATATAAAGCCCTACATAGGTTGAGGTCAGGATATCTTAAAAGGCCATCTCCTCTAGTATGTACCTGTAAGGAATTTGATGTCTCCGACAGAGGCCTGTTACATACCCCACCACCTCAAGAGGCTAGACTGATGGATACAAAAGACTGGGCTTTCTTAGTAGCAGCAACTCCATTATGGAACTTCGTCCCAAAGGAAATTAAACTAGTTTCTTTCTGTTCAATTTCCAATGTGCAACTAAACCTATTTCAAAAGTTCTCTGGTCTCTATGATTTTTTTAAAATTTTCTTCTGAAGACTGTTTAAAATCTGTTTTTAAACATTTTAGAATTCTCTTTTTAATGTTTCTAATTTGTTCTCACTGTTTTAAATCTGGCTTTGACTATTTTAATTGCCCTAGAAGCCCTGGCATGCAGAAGGGTGATCAACAAACATCCATGCACCCGATTTTAGAAGTTTAGTGCTGCAAATAGTTAGTGTCCCTTACTCTTTTCTTTTCCATTGTCCTACAATTGAGTAAGAGCCACAATCACTTTAAAGTTGACCATCACAACTACCCTACACTCTTAGCGTAATCTGCTTGGCTTGCACTTTAATATCATTCAATGTATGTTCCAAAGTAAAATGTAAAGCAAACAGAATTTTCAGTTTTCATACTTTCAAATTGCAGGAAGTGACTTATAAAAATGTGTACATTAGGGATAACAGTGTATAAAAAGGCATATTGGGTAAGCTGTGCAGTGAAAACATGTACATATGCAACTGGTGATCATACACAAATTTACTTACCGATGTGTGTGCGAACAACAAACACCTGCAATATTTTCTGCATGAAATATACATACAGAGCAGAAATA